AACCCTCGGGCGGGAGCGCCGCCACGCTTCCCAAGCGGCGCACTTATCCAGTGCGCCACCGGGCCGGCCCCCTGTGATCATTTTTCATTACAGAGTCTGATCATTATAGAAAAAAAATTCTCTGTAAAGAATGGTTATTCATCCAGGTGAGGAAAGTCTAAATGTGTTTATGCCCACAGCTTTGCAGAGTGTATGACGATTGTAAAATCAGAATATCTGTTAGTAGGAAAGAGGCGGTTGTTGACTAGCTAGCCTCAAAAGGGTGATGTTGCTGGAGACGGGGCCGTGACTCTAGCAACCCAAGTGTAAGGAAACTTCACATCAGATGATGGTTTCATCAGTGAACATTTTCAGATGGAAGTGTTTGTTTCAGCAAAACAAATGTTTGCCTTTTGGCCAGTGGGGACCAACTAACAGATGCTTCTGCTAACATTTCCACAGGCAGACTGGCATCGAACTCTTCCCTCTGTGAGCCTCCCTTTCAGCCAGGAACTCTCCCACGACTCCACTGGCTGTCTGGTGGAAACATTTTGTAAAAGCAATCATCTGGTTAAAAGGGTCCAACGCTGTTAAAACGGCTTGCTTGGCCAAGTCGCAGTAGTGGGCTGGACATTGTCTTGCAGGTGTTTCTGAAGACTTGTTCATCCCCACAGGGTCTGTTTTGTCAGCTGTAGAGCGTCCTCAATTAACTCTAGCCTGTACTGAGCTGCAGGCATGTCATGTTTCACTTATATTTCACTGATTAATGGTCACATGAGGGCAATCATGTGAAAATGCCCAGCACAGGGTCTGGGAGTGAATTTAGTGTTTTTCTTAATTTACATTTTGTATGTGTATGCGTGTTGTCTGTTGAGGCCGATATCAAGCATTCAGAGGGTTTAGCTGGCTCTTGCATTTTGAATTGGGGCTGGGATCAGATAAGCAACTTACCCAGTTGGAGTGATGGTATAACTTAGTGGTGAAATGGTGGTGGCTTAGGAGTGAATGAGATCTGAAATTGCATTGCTTTTCTGCCACCTACCTACTGTGTGACCTTGAGACAATGACTTGCCCTTCTGAGTCTGACTTTCCTCATCTGCATAGAGGGACAAATAATACCCCTCCCTTTTCAAAGCTGTGATATGGCTAGGGCCATAGCTGCATGCTATTGTCTGGTTGGGGTTATTGTCAGACACCTGCCAACATGGCCAATTGTATTGCTATACGACTTGTATTGTTAAAGTAATTCATAACTAAAGCCAAAACATTTCATTATTTTAGTTATACTAAGTTTCCATTTGTACTGTCAGGGCTAGGGCTCAGACCCTTCAAACCCATTGTGCAGACTATGTCACCAGACCTCTCACATGCCAGGCTGGGTTACCAGACCACTCACACACAGGTCTGTGCTACATAATTGGGAAAGATCCTGGAAGCCATTGGGAGATTACATGAGCTTAGTCCTCGGCAGTAGCAGCAGCAGCAATGCCAGCAGAAGCGGCCTCTCAGGGCATCCGGGGCAGTTACCAGACCACTCACACACAGGTCTGTGCTACATAATTGGGAAAGATCCTGGAAGCCACTGGCAGATTACATGAGCTCAGTCCTCGGCAGTAGCAGCAGCAGCAATGCCAGCAGAAGCGGCCTCTCAGGGCATCCGGGGCCGCTGACAGCAGCATCCTCCAGCAGCAATTGTGGCCTCCTTGTGGTCCCTCTGGGGGCATCCCAGGGATGGGGAGCACTGTGGATCAGAGCCACTTTTCCTTTATACTTAAGTCCATAAGTTTTTACTTATGTCCATAACTTTATATTTATGTCCTTTATACATAAGTCCACTTGGGTGCACATATGCAGTTATTTTAGACAATAACCAAGGAACACCTGGGGGCTCATGCATATTTACATGAAATGCTTGGCAAGATTCTGAACATCTGAGGGGCCCTGACCATTTTTCTTCACTTTCCTTATAGCTGTATTCATGATTAAATAAATATTGCATATCAAGTGCTCAGCCCAGTGCCTAGCACACAAGTGCTCAGTAAATCACTGCAGCCCATCCGCTCATTGCTTTCACAACTGTTAGGACCTTTTGGTGTCAGCATTATTTTTTGTCACCTACACAGGCACAGAAAGACCAGGGGACAGTGCATTTGAGATTTTTCATATTTAAGATTTTGCCTGTCCTATTATTCTATTGCTCTGGGCATCTTTCTGCATCTAATTATAAGTACAAACAAGTTTAACACACTTATAGGTTTTGGATGCTGAAATAATGTGACATTTGTACTGAAATTTTCCTTGTCTGTGTTTACTGAACTAATGTGCTGCTCACAATGAGAAATTATCAGTACTGGAATACTGGAAATGTGATTTAATGGCCCAATCAAGGGTAAAGTTAACATTTAGTGTTAAAGTGAATGAAAGGTTTAGATAAGCTGTTCATCCAGCATCCAGTGCAGGCCTCCATAGTGTTGGGTGAGGCAAAAAAAAAAAAAACCTGTCATTTGCGTCAAGAGGAGAGAACACTTGCTTGGGGACCTTCCGAGTGTAGGGATCTGTGTTTATACACTAGGTCCTCTAAGGAGCTTGGTCTGGCAGGCAAGAATGAGAGGTATGGGGGGAACACATTCTTTGCCTCCATCCCTTTACAGGATAGACTTCGCCCCAGCAGGCACATATTAAGCTACAGTCACGGATGGGATCATGAAGTGCCACACAGTAGCTGAAATTTGTTTTGTCTGGCCCTAGGAAATGATGCTTCCCTTGCTGCTCCTAAACCGGAGTTGATCTGGGTGGAACTGCTTGCTAAGCTCTAATGCTGGCTCGTGGTTATAGGGATTTTGGTTGTGCTTTTCCAGAGTGGTGTCCAATTCCACAAATCACGTGAGGATGCACGAGCTACCTAGGAGAATATATCCTTGTGTGCTTAACTCATCGTTGATAATGAGCTACCCAATCAAGTCTTAAGTGGCTGTAGCATCATGGAAAACTAATTGCCGATGGATGGCAGCCTGCACATCCATTTTCTGATGTTCATTTTCTAAATTCTGGCCTTTTAAAATTCTTGGGTTGGTTATAGCCGTAGCATTATAAGCCTGCTGGGTCCCAGGATTGGCTGAACATTTCTTCGTTAGAAACAAATATTTACGGAGCTAATGCCAGAATAGAGACAGGCATGTTAATCTTTCCGTTGAGCTTACTATTCATTTAAATGTCTCCAGTATGGACAGAGAGGGATAGAGACCAAAAGGCGCATTAACCTAAGTTTCCCCTCCCTCTGCCAGCCCCTCCCTTCCTTTCCTCCTCTTTCTCATCTTCCTTCTTTCCTATTGAAATGCATCCAGCTTTGCATACTTTGTGTCTTTTCAGTTTTCTTGTCAAGCCTCCAGAGGTAGGTGTCATTTGATTTGATTAGTTTTTTTAGAGTAAGAAAATGTTTTCTAAGTTGCAAAATAAAAATGCTAAGTCAACCCAGGTAGTTACATTCTAGTGACTCTTTTATGTTGACCTCATTCAGCTGGTCTTAGCCTTGATCATGGCGATATGGCTACTGTAAAATTTTGGTAAGAAATACTACTAATTATACTCCATTACCCTCGTCAAAGTGCTTTAAGGTGTTTTTCCTTTCACATCTGTGATCTCATTTGAGGGGTGATTATTCTTAGCCTGAAGAACAAACAAGTGATTCCAGTTTCTATGGTTTAATGATTCTAATTTAAATCATAATGTTGTTCCTTAATGATTGTTCTTTGCAAAATTTAACACTGGTATGAATGTTAGCCTCTCAGTCTTGAGATCACTTGGAGGTGCCCTTTAGTTCTGATTGATATCTTAATTTGATAGTGTCAGTTTAGCTAGTGGTAGGGAGGCAGGATGAGGACACAGGAGACAGAGGAGTATAATAACTGCAACAGCTTCTGTCTTATTTTAATGATGAAGTGAATGTATATAAACGAACAGAGCAGCTGCCAGCAAGTTTTCAAGTACTTTCTACTAGTCAGATTCTCCCTCTTCTTGAATTTGGCTTTGCTACGTTGGTACCCATCTGCTGGTAGTAACCAGACTGATAATTGAAGGCAGCCTTCCAACACAGCATTGCCAGGGCCATCTGTTTTCTAACAGTGCAGTAGGGTTTTGGAGGATGGGTCTTAATTGTTTCTTTAAGATTCAGAAATTTCTGCCTGCTTCTCAGAGGGGTATTTTTGGTATTTATGAAATACCAAAAAAAAGTTAGCCTTGTGAATTTTTTCCCCTCAAGGATGTGAGACACTTGGTTTTGTCATTTAGCAGTGATAAATGTCAATTCCTTGTGGTTCAGAGGGTGTGCACAGTATAAGTTGAGATACTTACCAGCTGTAAAAGTCATTGGAAGTTTCAGGTACGAATAGAGTATTATAATGTTTATTATGTGAGTCTTATGTGGTTAATAAGCAATAGTGTTTTTATTTGGCATATAAACATCGCTTGGTTTTAAGATTCAGAAACACACACAGGTCTCTCTAGATAACAGAATGGAATTGCATATGCGTCTCTGCTACTTTATTGCACATTGGTGCGTGGATACTTATTTAATCAGGTACCCCAAAAAACCTGTTTTCACCGGGAAAGCTCAGATCCCGCTATTTGGAATTAATTCTTCCTCAGTGAACTAGCACTCTGATTTCCTATGACACAGTCAGTGTTCCATGTGTAAGTGATTGGCACCACATCTTCCCCCAATGGAGGGCAACTGCCCTGACTGCAGAGACTCTATCATATTTATGTCTGCATTTTTCATAATTCATATTTCAGCTTCCTGAACATTGTAGATTTACTTGGTAAACATTTATTGAAGGCAGTTTTACCCATAAAGAAGTGAACCTTAAGACGGTTTTGCAATGAAAAGTAAAACTTTATCATGTGAATTTTTGGTTTATTAACAGATCAAATCTTTGCAATGATATATTTGGTCATTCAGGTGTGATGGGAACATGGAGCATCAGTGTCTTGCTAGGGCAATTGTTGGAATCCTGCTGACCTAGCCAATTGTATTGCTAGGGCTAGAGCTCACAAACCCTTCAAACCTGTTGTACAGACTGGGTCACCAGACACCTCACATGCAGGTCCACGAGCTAGGTAATTGGGAAAGATCCCAGGAACCCTTGGCAAATGACACAAGCTCAGTCCTCAGTTTCCTCAGCTGCAACAGCAGTTTACAGCAGCCTCCAGCAGATCCAGCAGCAGCAGCAGCAGCAGCAGCAGCCTTGCTGTGGTCCCCCTGGGGGCATCCCGGTGCGTGGGGGGTGGTGCGTATGGATCAGAGACATTGTCCTTTGTGCTTAAGTCTGATAACCCAGGACGCCTGGGCGCAAGTCAGACAACCCAGGCACTCCTGGTTGCACATGTGCAATTACGTTAGACAATAACCAAGGAACACCTGGGTGCACATGCATATTTACATCAAATGCTTGGCAAGATTCTGAACATCTGAGGGCCCTGACCATTTTCCTACATTTTCCCTACAGTCTGTTTTTGAGGGTCTTGTAAATAGGATTTTCCTGATGAGCTACTCTTTAACAGGCATATGAACAACCAGAAGGTTCGAAGAATACATTTCTTGAAGGAAAAAGATTATCATCAGATTTGGGTTTTGTGCTTTGTTTGGACTTCTATTCATAACATGATTAAAGTAAGATTATCTAACTTCATTAGGTACTCGAAGGGAAAGTGTGGTTCCTCCCCTAGTTCTGCTAGGTACCTTTATTAAGGTGTAAATCATAACTTTCTTGGGACACACAAACAGTTCTGCTAGGGACCTTTATTAAGGTGGAAATCATAACTTTCTTGAGCATTTGTTTTGATGATAACCAACTAAATGCGTGTTTTAGGACCTCTGCTAGGTACCTTTATTAAGGTGTAAATCATAACTTTCTTGAGCATTTGTTTTGATGATAACCAACTAAATGCGTGTTTTAGGACCTGAAGAAGGAGAACAACCTCCTTAAGAGTCAGTGTGAGCAAAAGGCCAGAGAAGTCTGCCACCTGGAGGAAGAACTCAAGAAAGTCAAGCAGTGTTTAAACCAGAGCCAGAATTTTGCAGAAGATATGAAAGGTGAGTACATTTGGTGTTTTAGAGTTAATTTCCTAAGCTATGATTGCCGTGAGGGAGGATGGATGGCATCAGCACGTAGAAAATCTTCTGTGAATTTCTCCGTGTGTCCACCCAGAAAGATATCTGCGGTCGATGTAGAGAAGAGTTTTTTCCCTTTTCCACTTTTAGTTTCCAGAGTGATAGTTGGACATGCTTTAATTGGAGCATATTGAGTCCCAAAGTGCCTGATTTTTAGCCCTTTGAAAGCAGAAGTGTAAATATTTTCCATGCAAAGCTAAATTGTTGGTGCTGCCTTACCCAGGGTGCTCTTCTGTGTCTCAAGTGTTTGTTATTCACATCCAGGCAGCCCATTTCCCACTCCCTGCTGGTAATGGAAAACCCTATATCAAATGCATATTTCCCAAGTCCTTAGTGACCATTGTTTGTTGATGACTTACTTGACTGATTTTATTTCCTTACTTTAAAGCCAGAGAATTATACTACACACACCAAATGTGAACTACCATTAGTTTCACTATGTCTTTCTTATGTTTACATTTATTTTCTCACCTGGGATGTTTGTGCATCTAGGGTTTCTTTTAACTCTGACCTGTGGAATGTGCGCTGCAGTTCTCTGTGACTGTCTTCTCTCTTAAATTCCCATCTCCCCAAGACAGCTTTCATCTTTCCACTGCAGCAGGTGGAAATGTGAGCCTTCAGCTTTCTTGAAGAACTTCCTTTCAGGGAAGGAGTGGCTAGCGCAGTTTTCAGTGTTGGTCAATCAGTGTCATTGTTTGAGGTCTGCACAAGCAAAGTGGATTGAAACCCTCCACAAGCCAGCAACTCTCAGTAGGAAGATTGAGATTAGCGGGTTAGGAATGTGTATTGTTTTCCACTTAGTGTAATGTCTAAGCTTGTAATACATGCTGCCTTTACCATCTGCTATTCATGTTCTCAACTTTCATTCTTTCCCAGTGAACTTGAGAAACACGAAACCTTCTCATCTCTGCTTAGTTAAAATTTGTGGTTCTTCTCAACTAGGAGGCGTAGAGGTCAGTCACTGGGCAGAAAACACCGTGGTAATGGAGTTTGAAGAACCTTCCCGATGATTCTCATATTCATAGACCACCTCCCTTACAGTGAGGGTCTGGGATGTGGGGGATATCATTCCTCAGGAATACTCACTGGTAGCCCTGAGACTTACTAAAATGTAGCATCATTTAGTCTTTTCTACTTAAGCCTAATGTGGATTTTTGGCTAAAATGGTAGAGTAGTTATTTACTTTTGTGGGACATCAGAATTACTCCGGAGTGAAGTGGGATATTCTAATTTATTCTCGTGTTGTTCTTGTCCAGTTTTATCTCTTTGAATAAATATTTCAGAAGATGGAAAAAAATACACACACATATAAATACATACAAACAAAAAAAGGAAGTTTCAAGTGCTTAGAAAAATAATTCCTGGGTATTTTATACCAGCAACAGTCTATTACACTGGTAGAAAGAAGATTAACACATGCATTGCTATCCTCAAAATTATCATTTCTCTCACTCTTTTTATATACCCTTGGATATCGTAGAGTGATCTGCTTTCTAGGAGGTAACCTGGTAATAATGTCAATTTAGAGTTTATAATTTTTGTAAAATAAATATTTATTAAAAACATTGACAACTTTTTTTTTTTTTTTAACAGCCAAGAATACCTGTCAGGAAACCATGTTACGAGATCTTAAAGAAAAAATAAATCAGCAAGAGAACTCCTTGACTTTAGAGAAACTAAAGCGTGCCGTGGCTGATCTGGAGAAGCAGCGAGATTGTTCTCAAGACCTTTTGAAGAAAAGGGAACATCACATTGAACAACTGAATGATAAGTTAAGCAAGATGGAGAAAGAGTCCAAAGCTTTACTGAGTGCTTTGGAATTAAAAAAGAAAGAATATGAAGAATTGAAAGAAGAGAAAGCTCTTTTTTCTAGTTGGAAAAGTGAAAATGAAAAGCTTTTAAGTCAGATGGAATCAGAAAAGGAGAGCTTGCAGAGTAAAATTAATCACTTGGAAGCGTGTCTCAAGATGCAGCAAATAAAAAGCCACGAATACAATGAGAGAGTAAGAACACTGGAGATGGAAAGAGAAAACCTAAGCGTTGAGATCAGAAACCTTCACAATGTGATAGATAGCAAGTCTGTGGAGGTGGAGACACAGAAGCAAGCTTATGTAGAACTACAGCAGAAAGCCGAGTTCTCAGATCAGAAACATAAGAAGGAAATAGAAAATATGTGCTTGAAAACTTCTCAGCTTACTGGACAAGTTGATGATCTAGAACACAGGCTTCAGTTACTGTCAAGTGAAATAATGGGCAAAGACCAGCGTTACCAAGAGTTGCATGCTGAATACGAGAGCCTCAGGGATCTGCTAAAATCCAAAGATTCTTCTTTGGTGACAAATGAGGATCTTCAGAGAAGTTTTGTAGTTTTTGAGCAGCAGGCTGCTATGAATAATTCCTTTGCAAATATAAATGGAGAACAAGGAAGCATGCCTTCAGAAAGAAATGAATGCCATTTAGAAGCAGACCAAAGTCCAAAAAATTCAGCTGTCTTACAAAGTAGAGTTCTTTCACTTGAATTTTCATTAGAATCTCAAAAGCAGATGAACTCTGATCTGCAAAAGCAGTGCAAAGAGTTGGTGCAAATCAGAGGAGAAATAGAAGAAAATCTCATTAAGGCAGAACAGATGCATCAAAATTTTGTGGCTGAAACAAGTCAACGCATTAGTAAGTTACAGGAAGACACTTTTGTTCATCAGAATGTTGTTGCTGAAACTTTAGTTGCCCTTGAGAACAAGGAAAAAGAGTTGCAACTTTTGAATGAAAAATTAGAAACTGAGCGAGTAGAGATTCGAGAATTAAAAAAGAGCAACCATCTACTTGAAGATTCCCTGAAGGAGCTACAACTTTTATCTGAAACCCTGAGCTCAGAGAAAAAGGAAATGAGTTCCATCATTTCTCTAACTAAAAAAGAAATCGAAGAGCTGACCCAAGAGAATGGGACTCTGAAGGAAATTAATGCAACCTTAAATCAAGAGAAGATGAACTTACTCCAAAAAAGTGAGAGTTTCTCAAACTGCGTAGATGAAAGAGAGAGAAGCCTTTCAGAGTTATCTGATCAATTCAAGGAAGAAAGAATTATTTTACTAGGAAGATGTGAAGAAGCCAGAAATGCATTTGAGGATCTAAGTGAAAAATACAAAGCAGCTCAAGAAAAGAACTCTAAATTAGAATGCTTGCTAAATGAATGCACTAGTGTTTGTGAAAATAGAAGAAATGAGTTGGAACAGCTAAAGGATACATTTGCAAAGGAACGCCATGAATTCTTAACAAAATTAGCTTCCACTGAAGAAAGAAACCAGAATCTAATGCTGGAGTTGGGGACAGTGCAGCAGGATCTGAGATCTGAGATTATAGATACCCAAAACAATTCCAGGAGTGAGGCTGATGGTTTAAAGCAAGAAATCATGACTTTAAAGGAAGAACAAAATAAGATGCAAAAGGAAGTTAATGGCTTGTTACAAGAGAATGAGCAGCTGATGAAGTTAATGAAGACAAATCGCAAACATCAAAATCTAGAGTTGGAACCAATTAGGGACTCTGTGGAAGAAAGAGAGAGTGAGATAAATAAACATAATTTCCAATTTCAGATGGATCTTGAAGATAAAGACATTTCTGTAGACAGCTATAATGCACAATTGGTACAATTAGAAACTATGCTAAGAAATATGGAATTGAAACTTCAGGACAGTGAGAAGGAGAAGGAGTCCCTGCAGCACAAATTACAGACAATTAGAGGAGAATTAGAAACTAGAAATTTGCAACAAGACACTCAGTTGGAAGAAATGAGTGGCCTGAGAGACTGTGAAATAGATGCAGAAGGAAAGTATGTTTCAGTGCTTCACGAGCTGTCAGCAAGTCAGAATGACAATGCACACCTGCAGTGCTCTCTACAGACAGCGATAAACAAGCTGGAGGAGCTAGAGAAAATGTGTGAAATACTGCAGGCTGAGAAGTTTGAACTAGTATCTGAGCTGAATGATTCAAGATCAGAATGCGTCACAGCAACTAGTAAAATGGCAGAAGAGTTAGAGAAACTAGTAAGTGAAGTTAAAATGTTAAATGATGAAAATGGTCTTCTGCAAGGTGAGTTAGTGAAAGAAATGCCAGGTGAATTTGGTGAACAACAAAACGAGAAGTTTGTGTCCTTGAATCCTCTGGACGATAGTAATTCCTATGAGCACTTGACACTGTCAAGCAAAGAGGTTCAAATGCAAAATTAGCTTCCACTGAAGAAAGAAACCAGAATCTAATGCTGGAGTTGGGGACAGTGCAGCAGGATCTGAGATCTGAGATTATAGATACCCAAAACAATTCCAGGAGTGAGGCTGATGGTTTAAAGCAAGAAATCATGACTTTAAAGGAAGAACAAAATAAGATGCAAAAGGAAGTTAATGACTTGTTACAAGAGAATGAGCAGCTGATGAAGTTAATGAAGACAAATCGCAAACATCAAAATCTAGAGTTGGAACCAATTAGGGACTCTGTGGAAGAAAGAGAGAGTGAGATAAATAAACATAATTTCCAATTTCAGATGGATCTTGAAGATAAAGACATTTCTGTAGACAGCTATAATGCACAATTGGTACAATTAGAAACTATGCTAAGAAATATGGAATTGAAACTTCAGGACAGTGAGAAGGAGAAGGAGTCCCTGCAGCACAAATTACAGACAATTAGAGGAGAATTAGAAACTAGAAATTTGCAACAAGACACTCAGTTGGAAGAAATGAGTGGCCTGAGAGACTGTGAAATAGATGCAGAAGGAAAGTATGTTTCAGTGCTTCACGAGCTGTCAGCAAGTCAGAATGACAATGCACACCTGCAGTGCTCTCTACAGACAGCGATAAACAAGCTGGAGGAGCTAGAGAAAATGTGTGAAATACTGCAGGCTGAGAAGTTTGAACTAGTATCTGAGCTGAATGATTCAAGATCAGAATGCATCACAGCAACTAGTAAAATGGCAGAAGAGTTAGAGAAACTAGTAAGTGAAGTTAAAATGTTAAATGATGAAAATGGTCTTCTGCAAGGTGAGTTAGTGAAAGAAATGCCAGGTGAATTTGGTGAACAACAAAACGAGAAGTTTGTGTCCTTGAATCCTCTGGACGATAGTAATTCCTATGAGCACTTGACACTGTCAAGCAAAGAGGTTCAAATGCACTTTGCTGAATTACAGGAGAAATTCTCATCTTTACAAAGTGAACACAGAATTTTACATGATCAGCACTGTCAGATGAGCTCTAAGATGTCAGAGCTACAGTCCTATGTTGACACATTAAAGGCTGAAAATTCAGTCTTGTTATTGAATCTGAGAAATTTTCAAGGTGACGAGGTAAAGGGGGTGAAGCTGGAACCTGAGGAGGGACTCATTCCATCGCTGTCATTCTCTTGTGTAACTGACAGCCCTAGTTTTACAAGTTTGGTAGAGTCCTCTTTTTACAAAGATCTTTTAGAACAGACAGGAGAAACATCTTTTTTGAATAATTTAGAAGGGAGTGTTTCAGCAAACCAGTCTAATGTAGATGAAGTATCTTGCAGCAGTCCGGAGGAGGAGAATCTGACCAAGAAAGAAATCCCATCGGCTCCAGTGAGGAGTGTTGAAGAACTTGAGACCCTCTGTCAGGTGTACCTGCAGTCCCTCAAGAATCTAGAAGAGAAAATTGAAAGTCAAGAGATTATGAAAAATAAGGAAATTCAAGAGCTCGAACAGTTATTGAGTTCTGAAAGGAAAGAGCTTGACTACCTCAGGAAGCAGTATTTGTCAGAAAATGAACAGTGGCAGCAGAAGCTGACAAGCGTGACTATGGAGATGGAATCCAAGTTGGCAGCAGAAAAGAAACAGACGGAACACCTGTCACTTGAGCTGGAAGTAGCACGACTCCAGCTACAAGGTCTGGACTTAAGTTCTCGGTCTTTGCTTGGCGCTGACATTGAAGATGTAAGTACCTGGGATTTACATGCTGGGATTTATTTCTCTTTCTCTGTTTACATGACTAGTTGGCACTCAGTAAATGCTGAATTGAAATCTACATTAAATCTAAAAGTAATTTTAGGGTTCAAGGAAACAAAATGAACCAAGTTTTTTTCCCAAACAAGCCAGAATTCTCTGTTTACATGACTAGTTGGCACTCAGTAAATGCTGAATTGAAATCTACATTAAATCTAAATTAAAGTAATTTTAGGGTTCAAGGAAACAAAATGAACCAAGTTTTTTTCCCAAACAAGCCAGAACTTTAGGAAAATAAGTGAACCTATGGCAGAAGTCCGTGATTTGGCATCAGCCATTTGAAGAGAAATTAATTTCTTTATTAAATGCATAATTGTTTAGTTGCTTATAACTTCATCCTTTCTAGTGTACCCGCCTAGCTGATGCTGTGTGGTTGATGAGTCTCACTTGCTCCCCTCTGTCCCTGTCTGTGAGGGAGGCGGCCAGGTCATAGTGAGGAGGCAGCGTATTTGTTACGACAGCACATCCCCTTCTTACAGATGAGAGGAACCTGACACTCAATGGGTAGTTTATCCAAGAATGCTCATAGAAAGTGCTGGATCAGTGACTTAGTCCTCAGGCTGGGAGTCTGGTCAGGAAACCTTACTTATTCTCTTATTAAAGAATGTCATAGACACTTGAAGATGGAAGTCGAGCATTTTGTATGGAATATGTTAGCCTCTTATTTGATAATCACAAAGAGAAATTTTATTTAGGCTACCTAGAATATTCCTAGCAAGGAGGAAAATATGAAATCTAAATATGTTACAATTTAGTTGATAAGATTGCTGATCTGGAGGGTTTGTCTTCATGATAAATACCTTACCCAGTGCCTTGCTCAGGGGGGCACCTACTGAGTCTTTAATTGTGTTGAATATTTGGTTGGAGAGAGAACGATGTGGGAGATATGCCATTTGAAGGGCTGCGTTTAGAAGAAGCCAGACATGAGTTTCTATAAAATAATAATTAAGCCTATTAATTTCATTTTGATTTTTCTTGAAAAGTAAGATGCATTCTTGTTATTTGTTATAATTACAGGCTGTTCGGGGCCAAAACAATAGCTGTGACATAAAAGAATCAGAAGAATATGCTTCAGAAACTGCAGAGAGAGCACCCAAGCATGGCATTCATCAGATTTGTGGTGAAGATGTCCAGCAAGACCTCAGTCCAGAGACTGAGGAAATAAGCGAGACTGGGGCAGTTGAACTTGCAAGAGAGCGGTCCTGGGAGCCCTCCTCAGAAACCAACTGTGAGGCTCCAGCAGAAGATAAAACCCAGGGCTGTGCAGACTGCATTTCTGAATTGTTGTTTTCTGGTCCTAATGCTTTGGTACCCATGGATTTTCTGGGGAATCAGGTAGCCATCCAGAATCTCCAGCTGCAAGTGAAAGAGACATCAAGTGAAAATTTGAGATTACTTCATGTGATAGAGGACCGTGAGAAAAGACTTGGAAGTTTGCTAAATAAAATAAAAGAGTTAGATTCAAAACTCGACTTACAGGAAGTACAACTAACAACCAAGACAGAAGCCTGCAGAGAACTGGAAAAAGTAGTTGAGAAACTTAAGAAAGAAAATTCAGATTTAAGTGAAAAATTGCAATCCTTTTCTTGTGATAACCGGGAGTTATACCAGAGAGTAGAAACTTTGGAAGGCCCCAATTCACGATTGGACACAGGCACAGATAAATCGTCATATGGAGTTATTGAAGATAATATAGCCAAGGTGAATGGCAATTGGAAGGAGAGATTTCTTAATGTGGAAAATGAGCTGAACAGGAAAAAATCAGAGAACGCTAGCATTGAACACCACATTCTCTCTGGGGAGGCTGACTTAGTACCAGTTCAAGTGGAGAAGCTAAGTTTAGAGAAGGACAATGAAAATAAGCAGAACGTTATTGTCTCTTTTGAAGAAGAACTCCGTGTGGTCACAAGGGAAAGAAACCGACTTCATGGAGAGTTGGATGCTGTGTCAAAACAAAACAAAGACCTGGACCGGATGTCTGCAATGATGAGGGAGAAAATACAAGAGCTGGAGTCTCATCAAGGAGAGTGTCTCCGTCATGTTCAGGAGGTGGAGGCCGAGGTAAAGGAGAAAACAGGGCTCCTTCAGACTCTGTCCTCCCGGGTGAGCGAGCTGTCGAAAGATAAAGCTCATCTCCAGGAGCAGCTGCAGAGCCTGGAAGAGGACTCACAGGCACTGTCTTTGGTAAAATGCGAGCTGGAAAACCAGGATACTGGTTAGGATCAGAAAGGATCCTCTCATCCTGCCCTGCCTTTTTTCCTTTAGGAGAAAAAACTTTTGAAGATATTGGTGTAATTATGACCCACAGAGCACTCATGGCTACTGGTTAGGATCAGAAAGGATCCTCTCATCCTGCCCTGCCTTTTTTGCCTTTAGGAGAAAAAACTTTTGAAGATATTGGTGTAATTATGACCCACAGAGCACTCATGGCTTCCAGGATGTGTCTTGGGGATTTTTGCTTTCATCTCTCTCTTTTATATCGTCTGTGTGCAGTCTCCTGTTTTGTCATCCGATGATTGAAGGGAAGACCTCCTATCAAGAACCTTAATTGTTAAAGGAAAATTAAGTTTTGGGCCCCATATGCTTACCTACTGAACTAAGAAAGTGATATCTCTGTGCAGTCTCCTGTTTTGTCATCCGATGATTGAAGGGAAGACCTCCTATCAAGAACCTCGATTGTTAAAGGAAAATTAAGTTTTGGGCCCCATATGCTTACCTACTGAACTAAGAAAGTGATTCCCTCAAATTAAATTTTAACTGGACAAATATTAAAAGAAAGGTGTGTCCAGAAAATGCAATTGTCACTCTGTATTTTCCAAGCATTTCAGGGTTTTGTACACCGTGCAAGAGATGGCAGTTAGTGTAGAGATGATGACAAACTATGCCAGTCTGTTTCACCTTCAGGGGGCAAGTGCCAGTAGAGCTTTAACTGGTCCTAACTACTCATAGGCATGTTTCTTGCAGATTAGTATGGCATTGGGGGATTAACAGAGATTCAAGAACTGATCAAAATCTAAGACACTTCCTAATACGATATTCTCTGAGGTTTAATTCAAGTTAATACCTTTATGAAGGATTTTAAGACTTAGTAACATTATCTTTTCTTGTTCCTTTCCTTATTGCTGTCAGTTATTAAATCTTCACTGAGAAGAAAGGTAAGCTTACCAGTAGGTTTTGAAAATGTGTAGTTGACTGAATTATTAAAGGGGGGATTAGCCAGGTTCCAATTTATTATTGCAGGCTAAAGGAAATGTGATGAATATGTTGTATCAGAGCAATTAATTCAATCAAAACAATCAGAAGCAGATCTTGACAAAAGATTAAATTTCAGGTAAACACAATGACCGCAAAGGAAACAGAACTGCAGAGAGAAGTGCATGAGATGGTGCAGAAAATGACAGAGCTGGAAGAATTATTTAGTGGAGAGAAGAACAGGCTAACTGAAGAATTAAAAGTACTGTTGCATGAAGTAGAGAGCAGCAAAGTAAGTTTCTCTGTGACAGATTCATTACGCCGTGATAATTCAGTGTGTATACTCTCCTTGTGGGTTTTTGTAAGATCTTCTGTAATGTGCTAAACTCTTCTTAGCTCTTGAAAAAAGAAACCCAGAGCTTATATCATGTTCAGGCTTACAGTAATCTCCACCACCCAGCACTGTCAGGAACGCAGAGAAGTCATGAGAGCCTCTGAAAACATGCAAATACCTGTCTTTAAGCCCAGGCATGTTTTCATAGAAGATGACCCTTGGACCACATTAACTCATATCAGAAATAGATTTCATGCAGCTTTCAATAGATTTATCTGCTTTCCTAGCCTGCCACAGATTACAAGCTGGAATGTTGCTAGATACATTGATCTGCTGAGAGCTAACAAAGTAACAGAAGGAAATTCACAGTGGAATGTGAAGTTAGAGCAGTCTTGGGGTGTTCTTTTAGGGCTGGGTTAGTGAGACACATCTATAACATTTGGGCTATCACTCCCAATGCTGTTTCCATAGCAGATGCTGCTAATTTGTGGCCTCCCTTTCTCCTGAATCTCCTAACACTGTGTCCTAGGTAGCTGCTACCGTGCAGGCAGAGCTGCCAGATGAAATGCAACCTGTCTGCCAAACCTGGTTAAACTATAAACATTCCTATGTCCATATAGTCCTCATACGACTTCATCCCCAAGTAGTACTTAGAAGAGGACAGCAAAATTAAAGATAGTTGTTATTGTGACCCTGAATCACAAAAAGTTGAATGATATGTGTAATATCCTGTAGAAGGAGTTGATGTTCTTTTCTTTAAATGTAGTATTTAATCTACAAAAATGAGAAGTTTTGGCATTTAATCTTAGCACTTGACTTAGGGCATTTTCTGGCAATGCAGCATGGAAGGAGTTCCTATCAATAATATTTGAGTACTGCAACTGCTGAGATCTCCTTTGGTACCAAGCAGCTTGGGAGTATCCCAAGTATATTGTTATTTGTTATTTCATTTATGGGCTCTACTAGGAGGAAAATCTGAATGTTTGGACTCAGGTCCGTACACATGTGTGTGTGTGTTTGTAATGGCTTTATATTTATTCATTTATTCGTTCTGTAAGTGGTAAGTGCTACTAAGGTCAGGGGAGAGGATGCTGAACCATGGCCATCCTGTGGCTCCTGCAGTGATAGATCTTATAGTGTAGACACACAATAAATCATGAAATAGGAAGTCTATGAAATAAAGTGGTAAGTGCTAGAAAGGAAAGAAATAAGATTCTTTGCTGCAGAATAATTGGGAAGTGGGGGTGCGGGGTAGGGAACAACGTAATTTAGATAAGGTGGTCAGAGAATGTCACCTGCAGGACGAGTAGTCAGCCGTTTAAAGAATGGTCTTCTAGGTCTGGAGAGCAGTGTGGTGCAAGTTCTGAGATTAGAAAGATCTTTATTTCTTAGAAAGGCAAAGGAAGCCACTGTGGCTAGAGCCCAAGGGAAGTGACCTGAGGAGAGATTGGAGGGGTAGGAGTGCTGTTGGAGGTTTAGGGCAGGAGTGTTAATTTGGCTAGTTCAGCATATAGGTAGTATTTACAACTTATGGGAATGGTAGAAAATACAGATGGAGAATAGAAGGTAGCTCAGGGCCTAGCCCAGAGGAACTCCAGCACACAGCATGAGGTGGAGGAGAAAGAGCCAGCAGAGGAAACTGAGGAGTGTTGAAGAGTCAGACTAGGTGGGTGTCGTGTTCTAGAAGTCAAGAGTGGTCAGCAGCACCAGGCACTACACATTGGGTGGGCAAGACAAACCCTGCAGAGTGCACCTCGAGTTTGCGATGTGGGGGCTGATAGTGGGAGGCTGCCTCAGGAGGAGCTGGGGCAGAATCAGACAGAATGGGTTGAAGGGTGAATGGAAATGAGGACGTGGACAGAGACAGCCCTCGGGTCAGGTGTGAGGACACAGATGCCCCCAGGGTTGGGGTTTTGTCAGTCCTTCACAGAGAAAGGAAAGGGGAGTCAAGCTGAGGGCATCTGGAAGGAAACACAGTGACTGAACGTGGGGAATGAGCTGGTCAAGGAGGACAACTTGGTCTGGAGGGACTGAGTGTGATGGTGGTGGTGCGTCTGTTGATAAGGTCAAGGAACTGTTGTGATGGAAGAGCTGGAGCAAGCCCGCAAGCATGGGAGGGTGTGGTTGCAGAGTGGTTTAGTTAAGTCAGGGTTTCAGGGATTCTGTGGTCTCTGGATGTGTCTCAGTGGATGTGACCTTGGTTGGGCTGGAGCAGAGGAAGGTGTCACTGGAGATGAAGTTGCAACTTAAGGTGAGCACATTGCTAGGGATTATTGCTTTATTCTATGTAGATTTTGTCTCGCTCATAAACTATTGTTTTCCACAGTACTCATTATTTCCTAATGATAGATATCTGTGTTCTCGGTGAGCACATTGCTAGGGATTATTGCTTTATTCTATGTAGATTTTGTCTTGCTCATAAACTATTGTTTTCCACAGTACTCATTATTTCCTAATGATAGATATCTGTGTTCTCAATTATGATGAAGCACAATTATGGTTTTTATTACTTTTTCTCTTTAGGGTCAATTGCAGGAGCTTATGCTAGAAAATAGTGAATTGAAGAAGAGTCTGGATTGTGCATACAAAGACCAGGCAGAAAAGGAAAGGAAAATGAGAGAAGAAATAGCTGAGTATCAGCTGCAGCTTCAGGAAGCAGAAAAGAAGCACCAGACTTTGCTTTTAGACACAAACAAACAGGTAAAATATGGCGTTTGGTTACTGGAGAAGGAGGAGAGTGTGTGTTAACCATGCTAATAAAGCTTTTTTTTTTTGCAAGGTCAATATTCTGAATTGTTATGCTGAATAATAATTCTGAATTATTATGCTGTATGATCTTATAGAGGGTCTCATGTTTTTTTTTTTCCTTTTTGTCTTTTTTCGTGACCGGCAACGGATCGCAACCCTCAGTG